ACAAAAATATAAGTGTTTTGGTTAAGCTATATGATTATCGTAAAAGCATTTTCTCAGGGTTAGCTGCCTAAGGAATGGGATACCTCAGTGGAGGATTCTCTAATAGAAAATGGATCATATTCACATTATACATGGAGAAAACTGAGAAAAACCCATGTCTCAACCATCCGGATCCTCGGAATTTCAGCCGCGATGAAAATTACTAGTGTTCAGCAATTTTATTCATGAGCGTAAATCATTCATAATGAAATTCACAACGTGTGAAGCTTGAAACTTTGTTTTTATTGAGTGATGCGAAAGTAAAATGCGGTGTGTACTAGAAAACTGAAGTTACATGTTTTACATAAATAAATCGTTAATTTTTAATTTTGAAGGAAGCATCTCCTGCACTTTCCGAACTACATAATGTGTTTGAAAAACAAACATTTATTATTTTTTTTCGTGATTTCTTTTGCACTGTTAATTGATGGAATATTCTCGACTTGTATTGCTTTTATTTAAATACATTATATAGTGTTTTCAATTTAGTAATTAAACAAAATCCCATTTAAAGCCTACTTTTATATGAAAAAAAATTTACGAATTTTCGATAATTTTCAGGATTCTTTGGCATTTTGAATTTCTAGCTAATAAGTTTGCCGTACTGATTTAGAATTTCAGAAATTCTCTTTTATGTACGTTTTAAAATATTTCACGTAATACATTTATTATACATCTAAAACCAGAGTACTTAAATTATTAATCTTAATCGTAATTCTCGAAAAGCCTCACAAGCTTTTCGAGAATTAGTAATTATTTCATTTACAAAGTATGATGCATAATGAAATAAGTGCATAACAATGTACCCAATGTTTTTTTGCAGTTTTCCTTTAGAAATAACTAAAAGCTATTTAAGAAACAGAATGCCTTGCCTTGGAGGGAGACTCGATGATTTAACGTAACCGAAAATGCGAATTTATTAGCCACCGAAACGTAAGACACTATAAGGTACAAATAGACTTATATATAAAGTTAGCCATTTAATGATATTACACAGAAGAGCAAATTCATTATATCATAAGAAGAATAGTGAAAACAGTATTCGAAACTTATAGCATGATAGATTCATTTCACAGTTTTTAATCTCAATATAAGTAAGATTTTAAATTTAAAATAATAATTTGAATGTAAATAAAAATGGATTTCAGGCAATGCTTTATCTGTACGAAGAGTTAACGACTATTAAGCTACAGAATGCGATTTTGCGCTTTTTATGTTCTAGTCAATACCCTGAGGGATTTAGTTTTTCTCTCTTCATTTAAACGATTTATTGGAATTCGTTGATTTCAACATAAAATTGAATTATTTTATCTGTATTATTCAACTTTTCTTTGTGAAATTTGAATGCATTAAATAATATGAGTCTTTTTTTAAAACGACAATCTTTTATTGCCGAAAATTTTGATCTTTTAAGCAAATAGTCGCCGTTCTCAGAAATATCGTTCACTTTTATAAGATGGTCTCCAAAGGGAGATGGTCACCATAAGAGGATTCCTTGTATTTAATTTGTTTTTAAAACAGAAAAATGTATTTTTCCCCTGATAAATAAATAGCATTCGAATATGTGGATATATAGCTGGAAACAATAATGATATCTTACAAAGAAAAAGATTACCTTCTATTATTTTTTTTTATTAATTTACTTTTACGCCATTGAAATTATCATTCAAGTATAAAATTACTTTTTAACTTTTATTTTAACTCTGAGTTGATTAGTTTATGGATTAAAATTTTGTGAAAAACTCCTATAATACTTTAGATATGCTAGCTCACATTTAAACTTTTTCATAAGCAATAAATCAAATTACATATTGACTCGGTCTTTTTAATTGACAGAAGCGGCACAGATTAACTTGTTTACAGTAAATTCTTCAATGTAAAAGAAAAAATCTTCAAATAAGAACTAAAATAACTGTTACCTTATTAATATCATATATTGAAGAAATAATTTTGTTAAGAAAATGTTATAATCTATATAATCTAAAACTATTATAATAATTTTATTAAGAAAATCATTTACCTGCGCAACTTGGAAGCATTAACTATCTGTATGATAATATCTCTGAATAGTACAGTTAATAAAAAGTAAAATTATGCAAATGAAGCTAATGTTTCGAGTAAAATTCATAACCGTAGATAATTAATAATTAAACAAATTTACCACTTACAAAACTTTTCAGTTTAGATAAATAATATATTTAAATACACAATTGCACATACTGCATGAATGTTAAATAGCATAAAAAGTTATTTCATTTATTATAATTATAAGTATTATTAAAATAACTATATAATAGCCAGAATTTTCAAATCAGGGAGAAGACTGCTTATCTCTTTAGAAAACAGAAATGCTTCCGGTAGAGTTCACTTCGTTAGAAAATGAACAAGTTTTTGGAGAAAAGACACTCTAAATCCTTTTACGCTTTTTTGCATTTTTTCCAATTTCAAGCTTTCTTTCTTTCTTTTTTTTCTTTTTGTTTCCCAGGGCATCCCATATTAAGCGATATATATTAACTCAATACAAATTAACGGATTATTTCTAGTAACACAACACACAGCAAAATTTGTAGGGAGACATAGTAACTTTCGGAGACGTTAGATCTAATTTGCTACTTTTCACTTTCTCATGATCAAATTGGTGATTGGCCGGACACCTCATAGTTTATCCCTAAAGGCTGATTGGACCTCATAATAGTGATTCTCGCGATTTAGTAAAATACCTCTGTTCTATTCGTCGACATGCTTTTGTTCTTCGACAGAAGACCGCAAAGAGTAAGTTCATACGTTTTGTGTTATTTTTAGATGTTTAGGTTTTATTTAAAAAAGACTAGAAACTGGGGGAAAAAAGGAGTTTTAAGAATTTTTCAGAAATCGGTGCTCTACGTCATAGAATTTAAAAATGAAGAACTATCATTTTAAAATTTTAAGCCATGAATCTAAACTATTATAATACAAATGATCCAGAAAAAATGAACAATATTTTCGCATTTCCATCCGAGGTCAACGGTGGTACCCTTTAATTACATAATATTGAACTCTTGTATCTCCTTAATATTGAATTCTTTTTCTGCTATTCTTCTGCTTTGCATTATGATCAAAAAGTAAAATTGATTGAAGTTTTTGGTAAGCATATTAGAAATATAGCGTAGAACATCGATTTTTTCAAACTAAAGTTTATGCCAATAAAATTATTTCCTTCGGAAAGGGATGTTGTTGATTTGTGATTTCAGCTTGATGTCGACGATGTATATGATGTTACAATTACATCAAATTTTTATCATTATAATTACTATTTCATATATGCTTGCTATTGTTTGTTTAATTCAGTACGAGAAAGCATACGATAGACCATGGAAGGGACATTTCCCATGTCTAAGGAAGGAATACCATCCCATTTGTGGAGGACTTCCTAAGATAAACTGGTTATATTTACCTTATACATAAGGAAGACCATAAAAGGTTTTTCAGCGCGTTCGTTGATATTCTAACCTATGTCCAACTAGCATTGTTTGGCAATCTTATACATGTTGCCCACTAAAATAGGCTATGTACTTTTTTTCATTCTATTAAGTTATCTTGTTTTATGCTTCCTTTTAATCTGTAAATATCTGATTATTTGTCCTAAACACAGACGCACACAAAATAAATAAATAAAATAAAAATAATAAAATAAAATAAAATGTTTTGCAGTGAATGAACTATCTGCGTATTTAACACCTGCCCTATTAAATCATTTTAAATGAGAAGAATTTAAATTGCTAGATGCCTAAGAAAATAAAATTCATTGCATTGAAAGCATCGACACAGAAATGCTCTCTATATTATTCCGAAAAAATATTAATATTTTTGCTATATTTATTGACTTGACTGAAATTCAAAATTAATGTTAAAAGAAAAATCACTGAAAATTATTTTTCTGTGTTTCCTTCCCTTGTTTGTGCAATATTTAGATAATAACTAGCAAATCTTAAAATTAAATATTCCAACTTAATTCTTTTCTTATCTTTTTTTTAATAATTATTTTCTTTTAATTATTATGCCTTTAGATGCTTGGCCCAAAATGAAAGGGCCTTTTTTCTTTCTTTTGTAACATTAAGCTTGATAGTTAGAGGGAAAGTGGGACCGGATAGGGAGGACTATTCAAAGCTGTAAAAGAACAAAAGCTTTAAGGCCTGAAAGTGTCATATAAACTTCAAGTATTTTCCCGCCGCTTGTTTGCTGGAGTACGATGACTTTTCCTGATCGTACTTCTAAATGGAAAGTTGTAGACTTTCCGTTCAATCTTCGTTCATCACATGAATTCTTTGGAAGCTGGAAAGCAATATTTTAAAAAGACTTTTCTATTGAAAATTAATTAGCACATTTTTAAGCATAGTTAATGGTGAAGCGGGAGGGTGCCCGGGCTCTCAGGGCACCCCCCCTGGCTACACGTCTGTAATGCTTTTGTACTTTTATGGGAAACCATTAATTTAAACAAAATGAAGTAATTTCTTTAAAATATGATATTAAATATCTTTAAAATATCTTTAAATATATGATAAATATTATGTATACCAGAAGGAAATATTTGTGAAAATTTTATTAAAGAAATTTAGATAAAAGTGAACACTTGTTAAATTTTCAACGCAAAAGGGCGACGTAAAATTTCCATAATCTACTTATCTACATGCACAGATCTACATGCGTGTTTAATAAAGGTCATACTACCTTATTTGAATGACAGTGAAAATTTCTAAAAACACGGAATACCGAATAATTCTTGCTAACTTTCACTTACTATTCATTTTTGCGTGACTGTATTGACAAAAACAGAATCGATATTCGTCGGACGATTCCGATCAAGTGCAGACATGAGCAGCTGTTTTCTTGAAAGGAATTCAAGCAACATACACATCCTAGGCAATTTGTCATAATGATAGCAGCGAAACAAGGTACGCGTGATAATTGCTGAAAAAGGAATCTCATCTACGACATTTTCTTTTCGCTCGTGCGTACTTTTTTTTAACCTTTAGCTTTTGAAAGCAAAAAGATAATGGCTTTCTTTGCATTTCGAATAACTGGTAATAAAGGCGATATTTCACATTTTGCTTACAGTTTGCCCACGTGCGAACCACTTTCTGTGCCTTAATTTCGCTAAGTTACGTTTATAACATTTCAACTGAAAGTAAAATATTTCTATATTTTATGAAGGAAAAATTTATAATTGGATTTAAAACATGAGTCTGAAAAACATGCGACAACTAATTTTGCATTAGGAAATCATATGATAGAATAATTGTGATTTTGGAAATAATAGATAAAATTATTTGTTAACTAAATCTAATATTCTGATTAGTCAGACTTTATTAAAACTTTTAGAAATAGTGAAAATAAGAAATAACAAAAATATGTAAGTGCTTAGAAAAAGTAGACGTTGAATATTGTAGATATACTTAACACTGTTAAAATTAATATCGTCTGAAATTTCATTTGATAGCTTCAGATTCAGATATATTGTTTCACAGAAAAGTAATATTCTCAGAATTATGTATATCATTTAATACTTTTATAAATTTAAAGTGTTATAGTCACTTTAAAGTGTTTTAAGACAGTAGTAATTATCCATGTCTTTACTATGCATTTTGGGATTCACCGTCAAAACATTCGGTAAGAATGGTTCTGAGAAGTAAATTCTTTTTGCATTATTGTTCCATTAATGGATCAAAAGTACAAAAAAATATTGTATTGGAGATTGAAAGCCCGTTTCTTATTTCGAATATTGTTGGCTGTTGGTTTTATCGCGCAAAGCGTCAAATTCGTCGAAATGTATCTGCAGTATCCTTCAACAGTGGAACTGGAAGTGGTTCAACCATCCGAAGTAGAAATGCCAGCTTTTACTTTGTGCAATATAAATGAGTGAGTAAAATCTTAAAAATTCTCTCACTGTTGTAGTTTATTTATGAATAATTGAAAATTTTAGTACATTCGTATTAATTCTTATTAATGTATTCAAAATTTTGAACATCTCTGAGTATTGTTAGCCTTCTGTTTGTTCAATAACTCAACATTTTTATTTTCCAAGCAGATTACTTGTTTATATGCCAAGGGAGAATAATCTTTATTTTTTAAGATTTGTTTGTTTAAAAAACTAATGAAAGTCAAATAAGGAAATCATAATAAATATTACAACAAAGAAAAAATACTTCACTATGCTTATTTTTGAGACAGTAGGTTTAGTGATTATAAAGAAATACACTGATTTACGTAAGTTAACAATTTAAAGAACTGTAATATTTCAAAAAAGATTTCTAAAGCGGATTTTAAAATGGATGCAAAATGGATGCAAAAGGGCCTTTTTCGTAACCTCTGTACGTACGTATGTATGTATCTCGCATAACTCAAAAATGATTAGCTTAGTTTGTGCATCTTCTTTTTCATTGCATTGCGATCGGCAGTATCAGACGTATATATATATATACACTCATCCCCTTATACGGCCTTTATTTTGGCAATCGTTAATCGTAGTTATATATTTCCAACCATAATCGTTGATCGTAGTTACGTATTTTCAACAATAACCACAAAAGTGTTTCAAATGACGAAAATATTTATGTTTAGTAATGCCAAATAAAAAATTGATTTTCTACAAATAAGAAATTTAACTTTGAATGCCGTCTTCTAGTTCCTGTACTTATATTTACTTACAACAAAAATTGAATTAGTTTCAAAATTTGCAATTTTTGATGTTATTTTCAACTTAATTTGATAGATCTGTTTTCAAATCAAAATAATTCAAGGAAATACGTTTAAATGAAGTTTAAGAAAAATGTTTGTAATTTAATAGATCGTACAAGAAAATAATACTCCACAACAGAAATCCACAACAGACTTTTTATTTAAGCAATAGCTTAAATGACATGTCTTTAGGTCAACAAGGAAATCATATGTTGTGTTATATTGGTTATTTTAGACCTTTTATTTAAGCAGTAGCTAGAGTCAGTCTTCACAGCAGAAAGTTTAGAACAGTCATATTGGTAGATTTGTGTTGACAATTTCAAATTACATTTTAAAATAGGACTATTTATTTGTACTATTTCGTAAGACTCGTATGGGACCGAAATTCAAATCTAACGTTTTTCACGTTAAAACTCCGTTAAAACCAAATTGACCATCTTTAAGAAAGATGTTAAATTAGCGTTCGTCCTGAATATTTCCTTATTTTAATAATTAGAATTCAGAGTTTTCATAGACTAAAAAAAAAAAAAAAAAAAAAAAAAAAAAACTTTTCTAACGACTATTTTAGCAATCTGTGAATTAATAAATATTCCATATGTTTGGGAAAGCTCTGCTGAATATCTAACCGCAACCAATCTGGAATTGTTTAATTTGTTTTAGTAATATTGAGTTGCGAGGAACTTCTAGGCCATTTAGAATTCGGTAACATTTAAATAGCATTTATCATATCAAAATTTGTTACGTATTTGCTATAAATTATTTAACGTACTTGTTTCATAGATTTAGGTTCTTCTAACCACAAATTAAAACTTTCTAAAGACCTTATTTTGTATTAATGTACTTTTTATTCTAAGAAACTTCCCTTTCCCTTCTGATTTTAATTTCTTGCCAGAATGTAAATTTAAATGACGTATATGCAAAATCTCAATGAGTTCGAAGATAGTATTTAAGTAACAGAATTTAAGATTTAGGGATAGAAGAGTTAGTTATGAGAGCCGCTCTCTCATTTACGTCGAAAACGAGTTTATGCCCGAGTGAGATTATGCCGCGTGTTTGCAAACAGCTTTGTATGTGCATACTTGTGCTAGCCACTTACTTTTAGATTATTTGATATTTTAGGCTCGGCTTTGCTGCACAGCCGATAGATCTGATTTAGATTGAAGTAGGAGCCAGCCGTGTTCTTGAAATTTGACTCATTCTGACTTTACATACTATTTTGTGTTTGAGTTACTTCGACAGAAGAGGTGATTAGTTTGTGAGCACCAAGTGTGAGCATGTTCTGTTTAGTATGGTTAAAATAAAAAGGCTGTTGCAATCTTCTTCGGTAGTTATCTGTTTTCAAGACATATGTGGTAACCGGTGTCAGGTTCTGCTAATGACTCCATGTAAGGATTAGTAACCGACTAAGTTGCTATTCCTTTAGTACATTTGTTGATGTTGCATATTACCTACTGCATTTTTGAACGCAAAATTTATTTATTACAAATTTATGCAAAACTCTATTACAATATATAATAACATGGAAAGTACAAACAATTATTGCAGGTAAAGTTATCGTCCTCGTTATGTGAGAATATTGCTAACAGCTAGTCTTTCTAGTCGAGAGTTCCAATGCATTCTAGCGTGTTGTTCCGTTGGAAACAATCTGCAGACTGAATTGGCCACGCCTCCTTAATTTTTCAGAAATATTTTACATCCTCTGATTCGTTATATCTGGAACGATATCAGAGGAAAAACAAGATCATTGGTTCGTCAGCCCTCCTGAAATCGAGAGACTTTGAAGACAGACACAGTGCAGAACGCTAAAATTTCTTGACTCTAGTCGTGAAGATATTTCTCTTGTACTGTCAACCAGAACGAATTATTGCATCTGTGATATCAGACTATATTGTCTCACACATCGTAACAGCTTGAAAACAGTGACTTGTGGAGGACCACACACTCGATTTTCACATCTCTGTGTGGTCCCCCTCACATAGCAAGAATTCGCTACCTCGTCTTTAGTAGGGTCTACATTTTACGCTTCCTAAAATAAGACTCTACAATTTATACACGAATTTCTGACCGCTTTCTTTTTTTTGAAGCAGCCATGATAATAAAACGTTCAAATAACACACATTTTAAGGAAATGATCTTGAAGAACTGAAAGAGACGATTTTTTGGACGTTAAAGCAAGGTTACGTTATAATCTTAAATATTATATTTATTGATCTTATGATACCCGTATTAAACCTGAAATTCTTGTTCATATTGTATATTACAGTTACTAAATCATTACATTAATCAACAATGAACCTGTATCACAGATAATGATTTAGCAAATTTTGCATTTTAATTCACATACAATTTCAACACTAATTTTAACTCAACTCCTTTAAAATAATTGTACCTTCTACTTTTCTTTAATTAAGCTCAAGATCGTTAAGATTAACAAGAGGTATTCACGTGAACCATCATCTTCTGTAACACGTTCACCATACTTAACTGCAGGAATCTTTGTTGTCGCTCCGTCAGACATTTAAACGCGAAACTCAACTATCTATGATCTAGCCCTCCTTCTGGCAATGGCATTATGCTCGAAACACAAGAGAATATGCACATCTTGTGATAGTACACGAGACGTGCTGCTTCGTCTCTGAGTTCCCTTGAAGGCTTGGCTGGAAGGAATATTCCTGAAACGTCCACCATGCAATCTGTCTATAACCATGTGGAAAATATAAGCCTAATTGCCGACTTGCATGTAGAGTACATGAACATTCGCTGTCTATACAAGCTGTTTTCTTTGAATTGTTTTATTGTTTTTACTCAACTTACTGTTTCTTTTTCGTTATCGTCATCGATGTCAATTATTTTCAAGGTGCTATGTATTGTTTTATACACGCCCTTTTAGCCACTCTACCTTCTACATCATATGTTGTTTCTCGTTTCCTTAATTTTCTAGTTCATCAGTCTATTCGACGCTTTTCTCATACTTCTGTTTGTATATCGTCTATTCAACCTCCTTTTCTTAATTTTGTTTCTTCACTTCTTATTTAATTTAACATCCTTTCTGGCCCAGCTGTTTTATGTGTTCTTCAAAGCCTATTACCTACGATTTCTTTCTGCACATTTCTATTATCCGACAGGCCTACCAGCGGGCGAGCGGTGAAGACGCTGAACACTGGTAGTTCGGTCGGAGGTTCGAATTCCGCGAACGGGCTGGCTGCATGGCGGTTTCGTAGTTTTCCCCATGTTAACGTGTATACGAGCCAGCTTCCCTTAGAAAGTCCTCCACGAAGGCATCCCTCCCTTTAGGCAGATAGCCCTAGTGTGCTTTGCCATAATTGAATAATACAATCCAATCCTATTATCCGACGTCCTTGGGGACATAAGCGGTATTTCTTATTGCCCAACTGCTCCAAAAATTCATGTTTTTCCTGTTACAGATATTGCTTTACCTGAACCTTGTCGAACTTGTTTTTCCCTTGTTATTTCGTATAATTATTACATACTCTTTTATATTTGCAATAAGAATGAGTTTCTCAAATTTTGGATTTAATTTCTACCTCCGATTCCGCCCGTCTTCTTTTCTAATGTATTACAGTTTTTGTTTTAGCCTGTCCTTTATCTGACATTTTAACTGATTCATGGATTAATTTTTAAACATCATTTTCTTGGAATACTTTTTTTTATGTAACATCATATAATCTGTAGGATGTTTCTACTAGCACGTTCAGAAATGCATTATTTTTTGAAATAATAAATAAATAAAACTACCCTTAAAAATAATCCGATAATCCCGAAATTTCATATGCAAATTCCTTCATATCAGGTATGCAAATGATTAGATTTTCAAGAACAGTGAATGTTAACTACGGCCATAGCTTGCATTTCTACTGCGCAGTTAGCATGGTATAAAACAGGTAATAATTGCTAACGGTTTATTTTTTCTCGATGTTAGCATTCTATTGTCCTACAGACACAACCAACAATGCCGTTACTACGTTGTAGAAGACCTTTATAGATAATTGGACGACTTCGAACGTGGTCTCCTGGTAGGGATGCGTGAAGCGGGCTAATCATACCGAGCAATAGGCTACCACTTGCACCCTACGAACAATACTTGCTGCAAGGTACTTTTGGGCGGAATCAAGGATCTGGAAGGTGAAGGTGCACATATGAGAGACAAGATCGAATGATTGTGCAATACGGCCAAAGTGCCCCACCGGCATCCAAACTGTCTGTTATCCAAATTGCTACAGGTTGTTCTATACCATATGTAGCAATTTTCACTGACTTACAGCACTTGGATGATGAATTGGTTAAGACATCTATTTTTAACCACAAAACATCGACTGAGTAGTATGAAGTGGTATCGTAACCGATCATCAGAGCTGTCAGCGGATGCACTTAGTATAGTGTTTGGCGATTACTGTTTTACCGAGGCACAGTGTTAACCCACTGTTTTTCAGAGACACACAACCATTACCCCTGGTGTGATGATGTGGAGCACTATCATTTACCACAGCAGGTCTATCCTGTCATCCTGAATACAACTTTAACAAATTAATCTAACGTGTTCTACAGTGCAGACGTGTTGCCTTGGTCTGTGAGATCATCCGACCTTTCTCCATCGAGCACGTATGGGACATGATTGGACGGCAAATCGAGTGTCATCCACAACTATCACGAATTGTTGTTTGATTTGACTGACCAAATGCAACAGACATGGAACTTAATCCTACAAATTGACATACGACACAATGCATGCACGTTTGCATGCTTGTATTAAACATCATGGCTACTACAGCGGTTATTACTGTACCACCGTACTGGAAGTGGCTTTTCTCAAGCAACTTTAACCTGTGATCTTGAAACATTAATAAAATTAATATGTATCGAGACAAAGGTTTTGGCCACATTTCATTCCTCTAATCTGATTTTTTCTTGGCGTAGGAGTTTCATTTTCATAAGTGTATACGTTCAATTACTTCTACGATTTCTAATTTAGAACTTTTTGTTACAGACAACTAATTTGAAGTTAAATGGTTTTTTAACTTCAAATAGGTTTGTGTCGACTAGGTTTGTGTACCTAGCGTTAACGTTATAGATTTTTTAGCCGATTTCTGTTGAGAATTTCGCAAATGTGTATTTCATCTTTTTTGTAGGATCCGTTCTTCACCTTACTGTGAGATTTATCCTGAGTACTGTGGAACTCCTGACTCTGATCCTAAATTTTGTGAACGATTTGCTGAATATTGTAAGCTTGTGAACGACACAAAGAAGGTGATGCTTCCATTATTTGATTTCCTATCTTTATGTGCATTTTCGTCCTGTTCTCAAATTCAAGATTTTTAAATGCTCATTGAATTCATTTTTAGTTTAATTTTCACTCGTGTATATTAAAACTGCAATGATTTAAAAATGTTTATTTCAATAACAAAAGTAATAATTTAAAAATTTGATTTTCAATATACTATGTTCCTGTACAATTATTCTATATGATTTCGAGTTACACATACAGTGCCATATTAACTGTTTATACTACTCCGTAAAAAATATATATCGAAAAATGATGACTATAAAAAATTAAGAAGAAAATGGAAAAATGAATTAACTAACCAAATTTAGCAAACCAAGAGAGAATTTGGACGAGATATCTATAAACAAAGTGAGCTCTAGCATACTTTAAAATGTGCGAATGAAATAGTATCAGCGGTGCCGTTCCACTTCCGCCCATCTGCCTGCTGCTGTTTCCATAAATTGGTTTTCAAGGGCATCTCTTTGATAGCGCGTGCGATCGAGGAAAAACTAAATGCTCTGTGTTACAGTAACCTACAATACAGTACGTTAGCTGCGTACTAGCGTATTTGAAAAGGTAAGGATGGGGGTAAGGCAATTCATACTGGAAGTGTATTTAATATTATTTTATTTAATTTGTTAATAAATTTATTTCCTCGCTTTTCTTTGGTGGTTCAGGTGCTCATGTACAGAAATAGAGAATCCGCCAATAGGTCTGAGTAACTAATTCCTAATTTTTTTCAACCGAGACATTAAATTCAAGTATGACTGAAGCAGTTATAAGCTGCATTGTAAACGAAATGTCTTAACGTGCACCCGAACGCAAATTGTCCAGGCTGCTGTCGATGAGTCACTTACAAAAGGTTGCATTGCAGCACTATGAAGTACTAGCAACCATTTTCAGCATTACAAGTTGAACTCGATAATTTTCACTGCTGCATGATCACTTGCGAAGAACAAAATTTCGTAATTGGATTCACTGAAATCACGTAATGTAGCTATATAATCACTGTTCAATCGCTGTCACACGTCTAGAAGTACTCGGTTAATACCCCACAACTGTAAAACAGAAATGTCTTTGCAATGTATAGTACGTCGTCTTTACAAATGTTAAACTGAAAAGTAAGTAGCGCCTTTTATTTAAATGACACAGGTTTAGTTACAGCGGCAGAGGGGCAAAAGTTTCAGTGTGGTGAGTTTATAAAATCAGCCATTTTATTCTAAATTCAATAGAAAATGTATATATGATCATTTTGTGTTGCAAATAAATAAAAACGTCTCATTATTGTGAACAACAGACGGCTCCAGCAACGAACAGCATTATGTACTAATAATGAAATAACAAGTAAATAGTTGCCAATGACCACGTCTCTTACAACGACATCATGCAAGATGAGTACTTTGACAAACATTTCTCACAAAGAAAAATTCTCTACGGATCCACACTACTGGCATCGCTACTAGTGATTCCCTTTACATGGGTTCGTGTAGATGGCAAAGTACAGTGAAACCTCGATTCGCATATGCAATTTCTTCTTGAAGGTTGTCGGTCGTCCGATGTGTTCTTAAACTGAAAGTATTTTCCCCATAAGAATTAATGTAAAATTAAGTAATCCGCCCCTAAATCACAAATGACAAAACACAATGCGAAATAGATAAAATGAACAAATTACTTTAATTTTACCAGTTCATGTATGAAAGCAAGTTGAGGCAGAAATGAAAAATGGTAAGAAACAGATTTTATTGTTTGGCTTATTGTTCTAGGGCTTTTTTTTTTTTTTTTTTTTTTTTTTTTTTTGTCTTCTTTCTCTCTTAACGTCTCTCGATTCTGTTTGACAGTTACTGGAGTTCTGTCTCTCCGACGTGATTTAATTTTGTCTACAATGACACTGATATTGAAAATGCTTGTGTTTTTCTACTGCTTTATCGAGGTGGCATTTCCCAAGAAATTCTGCAGCTTATTCCATTTCACAGAGATTCGAGGATTAGCTTTCTGTCTTTCTTAGTCATTTGAATATCTTTTTTAAATAAGCGCTTTGTTTGTTTGTTCTAAAGTTTTTCCAATTCATCAGAGTTGAGCTCATTTTTGTGATCCTTTAATATTACCCACATATTCCCTTAATATACTCCCACATTTTTAACTTTCAAGCCCTTAGTTTTTAATCTATCTTTAATATCACAGATAAAAACTTCTATCTAAACCGTCAAAATCTGTGCCTGTAATGCAAACGTGTTCCCGTCAAAAGGGGTCTCGAGAAAACGGTGATAAAAATCTCATTACGAAAGGAAATAAAACCAAATTTTTACATGATTAAATAATAAAATACATTACAAGAAGTGCTGGAAGTGACCTCCCGCCACTTTTATACAGTTCAACATGTCGCTGCATATCTGTGTACGTTGCTCCCAAAGTATTACCCATCATTGCCTGGATTTCACGGCTTATGTTCTGACGTAACCAGTCAATGGTGCGTAGTGTGTACTTGCACACGTTACCTTTAGGTTGATCCCATAGAAACGTCAAGGGCGTCAAGTCTGGTGACCTCGAGGATCATGATGCTTTAGAAATCCCTTTGTCAAGGCAAAATGATTTCACCTTAGTCATGCTCGCTATAGATGTATGGCTTGTGAGTTAACGTTATCCTGACAAGTGGAACCACGCTTTATCACTGTGCCACGCGTACTGCAATATTTCTTGTCTTTCAGCGAGAAATCGCTGAAACCAGTGACAGAAAGTTAAGCTTTTATGACTGTCAGTTAGTATCAGTTCATGAACTATTGTAAACTTGGAGAATACTGGCCTGCTTTCTTAGCAACTCTTTCACATGTGCTACGCCATAATCCAGATTACTGTGATAAACGGAGCAGAGACTTTGTGGGCGAGGTCTAATCGTATCTTTACATCAACCATACTTTCTTCAGATAATTTTGGAAGCCCCCACTGTATTGATATTAACAATGTTGCCTTTGTCTTGAGCTTCTTCACCAATCCTTGAATACAGTGTTTAGATAGTTTACGTCGACCACCGAAACGTGCGAAAAGCAGTCGTTAACATGTCTTAAAGGAACCACTTATCCAATACTGTTTCCAAGAAAAACGCTTCCTTTCACAATATCGATACATCGTCAGAATCAAACAGGACCGGAAGAAGCAAGTCGCACGGAACACCACGAACAGTAAGTCACGCTACACTGAAACACGAGGACCACACACAGCTCGCGGAATCTCCTTGTTGCCACATTTCACAGACTTACATTGTTGCCACGTCGACCAGTTAATACAGAATACTTGCCGTGAAATACAGGCAGTGACGCCCGATAATCTGGCAGCAACATGCAACGCCATGTTGAATTGTATGCAAAGGGAGGGAGGTCACTTCCAGCACCTCTTGTAATGTACTTTGATTTCCAAACATAAAGGTATATCATGTAAAAATTTTGTTTCATTTCCTCTTGTTATAAGATTTTTATCACACTTCTCCCGAGGGCCCTTTTGAGTGAGACACCCTATATAAATATGACATAATTTCCTCCAAGTTATTATGGTCACTTGCTGCAAAGCTTAATAGTGACAATTAAGCTTTGGAAAATATTAAACTGATGTTATAAGAAATCTTTGAGTATTCATTCTGTGTCAGAAATTACCTCAAATCTTCTTTGAAAAACATTTTCTGTCGTTCCTTGTTAATTACTCGAGACACTGTTTGTCATTTGAGACGTCTGTTGTTCAGAACATTTGTTTGTAAATTATGCGCCATGATGAGAAGCATTCGTTTCTCGAGGTTCCTATATCAAATCATATATATGTTTTTCCTTCTAAAAGTTTCATTTTTTATAACTACCTTAGGTTCCATTGCAGCCTGTAGATTTTTTCCGGCATTTAACAAGATATGAACAGCAAATTCTGGGACACCAGTATGAAGCTTTAGTCCATAAATGCACCATAGAAACAGATGACTTAGAGACGAACTGCACGTAAGTCTTAAACCTAATCTCTTCATTAGAATTCAGTGGATTTAAATCAGCCTACCAGACGACAAGTGCTCAACAAGGTCAAGGTAGTGCGACGCAAATTGGATGTTGCTAGAGTTATATCGCATTTCATTGTAGTTCCTGTTGTAAAGACATTAGGTATTTTTGGAAGCAGGCAAGATGAAAAATTAGCAACGTCTTCACCGGGAATCGAACCACGGACTTCTCAATTACGCGCTGAGCGTGCAGACGACTAGACCACGAAGGCTCGCTAAACGCGGTAGAAATACCTGATTTACTCCCCCTTTTAAAGGGAAACTGGGGTTTTTAGGGGACCTAGTCGCCAAACCTGGGTGAGGAGAATCATCATCGAACACACTTTTAGTTCGGGCGCCACTGTAGAGACATTAGGTATTTTTGAAAGCAGGCAAGATGAAAAATTAGCAACGCTTTCGATGGGAATCGAACCGCGGACCTCTCAACTACGCGCTGAGCGTGCAGACCACTACACCACGAAGGCTCTGTAAGAAGGGAGAAATACGTTATACTGAAAGTAGACAGAAATATTCCAAGGTTGATGGAAAGTAACCAACAGCTTTAGTCATCCTGCTATCCAGGATCCCAGCAGCTACTTTTTCTTACCTCGAGACCACTCCGGAAATTCTAAACTTTAGTAAACTAATTCTAAACTCAGTACCAACTGTTGACAGAATCTTTCTCACAGTAGCCTCCTGAGAAAGCAATAATGACCTTTTCTTTCTAGCAGGGTTTCATTCCATTTCTTTATCTTGAGATGGTCACTCGCCTTCTAGCTGCCCGGTACACACAAGGGAAACTTCTAACTTGCTCAAACCAATGGCGGTAATTTCTCACCCATCTCTTTGATTCTTCCTTTCCCTGCTATGTGCATTCTGTTATCTCGGCTGTCCACCATCCTCTATTCTTTGCTAGCCGATATATTTATTCATTGGCAAGCCTCATTGTCATTACTGAATCAAACTTTCTTTCGAAAACAAAATTTTTAGACTTTATGTTCAGTATCCGTCGGATGAAGACTAAGCATTCTCATTAAATGCATTATTTTACTGCTTCTGGAACTTTCTGTATTCTCTGGAAACTGATGGATAAGATTTCAGAAACTTTGAAAAAGGATGAGTCATTTTTAAAATCGCAACGCCAAAGGAGAAGAATCCGGTGTAATTCTAAAGATCCAACAAATGCTTCTCTCGCATTGTCCAGCCATTAGTGTAATAAAAAGAATTCGTGGATTTCTTTATCTTGACAATCCAGAAAGTATTGCCACTTGAAGTAAATGTTTGCTGCAAACCCCCTCCGCAATCAATCCCGTGAAATAAATCACTACGTCGTGTATACCCAAATCTTCCCTTTAGCGTTAATTTACAACGGAACAGTAATCGCAAGTTGCTTTTCTTCCACCATCTTGCAGTGCCATTTTGAATAGCTCCTTTTAAATATGAGATTTCTATTCTTTACGTCTTCAATTTCTCGCAAACTAATTCTTAAATCAGCAGACTTGACGTAATTGTTTAATTTAAAATGATTCAAATATTAAATTGAAGTCAAGATCCAAGATCAGACTGAAATTTCTTTTCAATCCTTTTTATATTCTATAACGTTTTCTATAACGTTTTGAAACTTTAATGGTCTCTTCGAGATGTTAACTAATTTGAGGTTTTCAGATTTTAATTTAATTTTATTTGCAAGTTTTATTTCAATATATTTTAGAAATAAGTGTCCTTTTTAATTGTACTAATAATTACTTTTATTAGTATCTTCTTCAAATCTTTTATTTTCGTCTTTGCAGTTCGAATCCAACATTAGTGCCAGCTTTGAGTTTTTCTTACGAGATACCTTTCAACTGCTACATGATGTATTCACTTCAAGGAAAACCATATGAAAATCCAGAAGTTGTTCCAATATCCACTAGTAAGTTATATCTCAGAAATGTGTTTGTTTTGAATCTAAAACACTATTCTGATTTATTTATGAAAGTAATTCGAAACCGTTGGTTAGAATATCCACATAATTACAAATTTAAAGAACAATTAAGTTTTTATTTATTTTACTGCTGAAATGGCCAAAATGCAAATCGCATTAAAATTGTTATATAAAATCGTTTAGAAAATGTTAAAATTACCTTCGTTAGGTGTGGTGGCCAGTGGTGCTGGGAGTCATATCACTGGGCTTGGATTCAAGCCCCGCAGAAAGCATGGTTGTTTATAAATGCACAGTTCTTTTGCTGGAAAATGGCATTTAAAGAACTGTCAAACTAAAAGTCCTCTTTAGAAGTTAGTGGCAGAGAAGGAAAGGTAAGAGATCCTTACAATTAATCCTTGGATTCATAGCCCAGGAAACATTCTCTTTCAAAACTGAGAGAGAGCTAACTGCACTTATGCAGAACAAAATGATTTGATCAACGAACAGGCCACTTCTTCTTGGACACAATTAAATGTGTTGATCTGATCTGGAGTATGTACATATCAAGAGGAATCAACAACATTATGTCTGGGCGTTTTCGTGGTTTTCCCCATGTGTAACGTGTATACGAGCCAGTTTCCCTTAGAATAGCCCTCCACGAAGGCATCCCTCCTCTTAGGCAGATAGCCCTCGAGGCTTTTCCATAATCACACACACAACATTATGTCAAAAATTAATTACAGTTCTTTTTATTGTTATTAGGAAATTACAGTTAATTTATTTTACAACTGAGTAATTCAGTAAGGTTATTGCAGGAGGTTATCATAAAAAAAGTTTTGTAAGATTGAATGACAACGTGAGTTAAGAACTTGTCATGATTATACGGCACACATACACAATATGCGTAATAATTTCTCAAAGGTTAAGAATTTAAAAATCGATTTCGCATACAATCCCGCCTTAATCATTTTAATGTCAGCATTTTCGCAGTAGAGAAGAGTCGTGATTTCATCTAGAAAAATTCTAGCACACTCAAAAAGGTTTTCCTGAATCCTTCCGCCCGCCGGTGACCTAGTAGATAAAACCACTGATCATTAGTAGTTCAAGTTGGGTTCAAATTTCGGCAAGCATGTTGGTTAAATGGGCGTTTCGAAAGGGCTTCTCTGTATGTGTAACTCGAAATCAAATTAATTTACCGTAGAAAGTCTACTATGAATTCATTTCGTTGTTTTGACAAGTAACTCTCATATACTTAAATATTTACTTAACTTAAATCTTATTATTAAAAGATAACATATAAGAGCTATTTTTTAAACTTCCCAGGAAAAGTCGTCAAGTCAAAAGGTTCGTAAAAGTTTCATGTAACAAATAAAAACCTGGTTAACTCTCTTCAAACTAACCGGAGGAGTTTTGCTTTCTTCCTTCTAAAGTTTGAACTTGGATTCTGACGAAAACAAAAAATAGCCAATTGTGCAGTTGATTTCTGGTCTCAACTTCAGATTGCAAGCGGGTCGAATGGACGATATGAAAACAGCTGATGGAACGGATTTGTATTTTTTTTATTATTATTATTAAAATGAAACATTTTGGTCAACAAAATAAAAAATATTTTAACTAATTTTTAAATTAAGTTTACTAAATATTAATTAAAACATACGCATAAACCATTATAGTAAAAATGTAAATGAGACAGCTTCAAGTTTATATTTACTTTCTATCTGAAATCTAAAGTTTGGTACTTGCAAGACATTTTTATTGGCTACTGTTTGCAATTCAATTAATTAACAGCTAAATACACTCATGTCCATAAATTAAGGATAATTCGAGTCACACGAATCGACTCCTAAATAAATAAACACCTGTAAATCACTACACCATCTTCAAGATCATGCAAATTTCAGGAATAACCAGATGACACCGATGGTAGGTCACATGACGAGAGTGTAGAGAGTGATTATAGGAATACAGGCAAGAAGTAAAATTGTTCGCATGCGCTTTTAAGCATTTCGTGCATAACCGAAAGTTATGACACAAAGGACGCATTGGATGATTTTTTACGTGGTAGAATTATCGGCCCGTTTGGAATGTCTGCGTACATAACTGGAAGATCAGACGATACTTGGAATTGCCCAGAGTGTCATCTCCAGGCTTTGGCAACGATTCAAGATGATGGTAATGTGCGTAGACGTTACAGCACAGGTCGCCAAGAGTTACAACGCCGATGAGGACCAGTATTGGCAGTTTACTGCCAAAAGAAACAGGGCGGAGCACAGCCTCAGACCTGTCTCGTCAGCCTCTCTCAGCCACTGGACGACATTTCAAGACAGACGTGTAAAGACGGGGGCAGATTGGTCTTCCTCGACCTGTCAGATGCATGCACTTTACTGCAACTACTGTCGCCTGCGTTTCCTGGAGTAGATCATGCATCGTGGACACCGCAACAGTGGGCTTGTGTAATGTTTTGTGACCAGTCAGGTTTAGCTGGTGTCTTTTCTCGCGGACTTTTATGGAGAGCTCCTACCCGTTACCTTACCACCAAGAACACATCATTGAACGACACCGTTACGGTGGTGCAGGAGTGCTCTTTGGGGTGGAATTATTCTGAGTTCCAACTGTGGTTCACATGGAACCATACAAGCCATCTATCGGGACTCATTCTGGAAATTACTTTTACTTCGGGCGCCATGGGCCACAATTTATGTTTTATGGATGATAACGCCCGTCACCGTGCAAACATGTAGCGAATTCCTCATCGGAGGATATCACCATATGGACTGGCAGCTCTCCGGACTTGAATCCAGTATAGTACGTGTGGGCTGCTTGGCCCGAACGAGTGCAGCCCGTCACCTCCGATATAAGACCGGAACTTTCGGAGTTGTTTTTGGTGTGTAATATCCCCCAAGATCAGATCGATAATTTGATACTCAGCATGCCTAGGCGTTGTACGGACTGTATTTGCATCGTCTGGGGACATACAATGCATTAACAATCATACCAACCATGTAATATTGTTTTTTTTTGTAAATAGGTTTTTTTTTTTGTAATTTTGCTCCAGGGAGAAAAAATCGCTATTTTTTAATAATATCAAACATATAGCATCTTTTTTTCTTTTTACCTTTTGTTTAATAATGAGCTTTACAAATAAGTCAAATTTGTTTTTGCTTCTAACTCTTCCTTTGCCTAATTTTGCATTATCCTTAATTTATGGACATGAGTGTATTAAGTTTTCAGACTTATATTTATTTGAAATAATTCTAATATGTTTACTTAATCATTAAATAACTTATTTTAAATTAAACTAAAGGCAATCAAATTATGAAACCGTTTTAAGGTTTTCGAGAAATCTCTCTAAAGGGAAACGAAACCTGAGAATAAATAATGACAATCTTGTCTGTTTCTCTTATTTATAAAATGTTCCTTTAAGACATAAATAAAAGCTCAGATGTTTGTGTGTACATAATTATTAAACTTTCTCATTTCCTACTATAGCTTGATTTTTGATGGGCTTTAGAGTCTGCTAAAGTTTGCAGCCTTGGAGAAAAATTAATTAGAAATTATATTCATTATGGATTGTAGATGCTAATCTGTAAATTGCGTTCTTTTCTTTTAAATTTTCAGCTGTGAAAAAAAGAGCTGTACACAAACAACATTGTTAAGATAAAAAATTCGTAACTGGGCGTAATATATTTTGATAAATGCGAATAAAAGTTAATCAAATATGTATCTACCTGTCTATGTATCTAAATATGTATGTTGCATTGTAAAGTTATTAGCTCCATTTAAAGAATTTCTGGTGCATTATTCATGCTTGGTTCTAGTTGCGAGGAAAATAACGTAAACTCAGATTTCAAGTAACTAAAATCTTAAAATCTGTGCAACACCGTTTTTGCGACAAATACGTAACTGAAATATATTCGCGGACTGGAAAAATCTGCTACGGTTTGAGACAGCTGAATTTATCGTATAACACTGGATTGTTCGGAATGTTTATTTTATACACGTTGTGTAATTTCGCGATGTTTAAATCTTTTGACAGGTATATTTTCTTACCCTTTTTTAAGGAAAAATGAGACTTGCTCTTCTTGAGGAAGCTGATAAATTCGGTTATTTTAGAAATAATTTTCACAGGAATTGCACGTTTTTGGTTTGTATGCTTTCCTCTGGGGCCTACCAGTGCTTCTCCGTCAACGGCCAAACCTCCTCTTATTTTTGAACTGATTTGTTTTTTTGGTAATGCTGTGGAATGAAGCATAGTCGTTTGAAAGCTTGCACGTCATTACGTTTCCCCTCTTGGAAGCAAGGTTCTCTGTAAAAATATGACGCATTGCGTGAAGATCCCTCATTCTCCAAACTATAACGTCATCTCATCACTGACAAAAGCATTATAAGACCGGCGAAATAATGATTTTGGATATTGTAAGTTTATTGAAAACTTTAAGAACTCTTTGTTTTTTTCAATATCTCGAATCAAAGAAAAGAAGCAAAAATATTTGCGCTTACAGTCATGTCCTAGCTCTTGTGGGGTTGCTTTTAAAACTTTCATAACATTGCAGATCTCCCCATTTTCTTACTATTCTTGTCAGAAAAATCGGAAAATAAATCGGAGCCCTCACTATAATCTTCACTTTCCATGTTCACATGCACTGCTGAAGAATTGATGAACGAAACAGACAACTCGTCATTATAAGAGACAAGAATAAGTTTAATAAAGGAAGTTGGACATAAATGCTTCTTTACTCTTGAAACGTGGACAAAAATGTTTTTCCCCAGTACGCCAAATCTTTCTGTGGTTACAGTTGTGAACATGAATACTTTTCTCCTGAAGCAATTCATAATGCAAAGGCTATTCTTTTTTCCCACTAGACAGCATTCTTACTTCAATTTTCACTTTTTGCTTCCTTGTACGAAGTAAAAAGGAAGTATTGTAATTTCGAAAAGTTTCAGCATAATATTTAAACGAAAATATCAATTTTGACCTCTATCGAATGCAATTTAGCGATGTTTTTGTGTGACATCTGTACTTAAGGGCAGAATAAAAGACTTTTTCCCCCCCAAAAAAATTATAAAACTGATTTAAAATGAATTCTAAAGAGAATTTTTTGTGGATCTGACGTAGTACGTTCTAGATAACGCAAAAATGAGTAGGCTCAGAACGTGAAATTTTATATATAGGCTGCTGTAACAGCAGATGTGCACATGTATTTTGTTGCATCGCCTCATCAAACGCACATAAATATATGTAATGTATATCCGCTCTGTTACCCTATCAGTATCTCGTTTCTTCTCTTATATTTGAAGTGTGCATTTTTGCTTAAAAATGATTGATTATGTTGTTCTTACCTCCGTTCAGGTTTTATCCTTTATAAATCTGCATACAATATTGCGGATTATCAAAATTAAAAGTGCTTTAATTCCGTGCGTTAACCTAATGATTTTGCGATGGCGACACGGTGGTTACATTTCAAACTTGCAAAATAGCGGATTTGTTGCAATCTAGCGAACTAAGCTTGCAACAAATAGATAACACCTTCTTATTATTGCGAATAAGTCTGTTAATCCATTCGGACTTTAATCGAGGAAATGATTAGATTACTTCGTAATTTTAAGATATTTGAGTTTTTATAGTTTTGCCTGTCGGAAGTGAGACTGAATTAATTGCATGACAAATACGCATCGTCTGTGAAAACGTTTCTTTTTGTTTGTTTTGCTTAATTTGTTTATGTCATTCTAATTTTATTATAGTATTTGAATAGAACTGTGGCAATGATTGGCTAATTCTTCAACGATATCATGCATTGCTTTCGTTAATTGACGTAATGTACGTGTTAAGTGACAGCGCAGAGTGTCGCTTGGTGAACAATGTCTAGTTTAAGAGTGCATTCTTCTATGTGGTTATGCGCATCGAAGAAGTAGATTTAGTTCAATCCAATAAGTTTAAATGGAATTCAAGAAAAGAATGCTTATAGTTTAATATTCCGTACAAGGAAGTCATGTGGTGTACACATCAGATTTTTTTCTCCGGATATGCATATCACAAAAACTAGTTTGTACATGCACAAATACTTCTTAAGAATGTAGTCAATCATTTAATGCCTGATATTACAAACGTAACTGAAATTACAGTCTAATTTTATATTCATTATTATCTAATATATCCAGTTATATTTATAGAATATAGAAGTTATTTTAAATAGTGAGAATTCCTGTCAATGGGAATTTCTCTCTTCCTATATTGCAGCAAATTTTAACTTTGTACACCACTCTTACAGAAATTCATCTGGAGCTGAACCTTGAAGTTGCCGAATATCATCCATCCCATTTATCTCGTGGTGCACAACTCAGCATTCATTCACCCTATCATATTCCCTCACCGGTCAGTGAAGGGTTGTTCCTGAATATGGGCACTGTATATCGCATTTACGTCAGACTTGTAAGTATGTAGTCCTGTGTGTTTTTTAAAAATGCTTCTTGCAAGTAGAACATCTCTCATTATTCTGCTGTTTGCCATGTTTTCAAAAAGACCCTGATACATTAATTTCTTTTTGCAGAGGAACATATTTTCATTTGATGAATTTTTGTAAGATTTTTTTTCTTCTTGTACAAGTTCAGCAAAACATTTCTGTTTGGATACTTCCATTTCATTTGTTGTTGATATTTCTCCAAAGAGTTTCCTGGTTCAGTAGAAGCCCAGAAGGTTCATCAG